TTCATTTGACTTTCAGATTTCATTTGATCACACTATCAAAGCCGAATAAAATTTAATATAATCGTTAATGGAGTACGTTAATGAATTAACGAAACAGTAATAACAATAAATAGCAACTGAATGAACAGTACAGTTAACCGCTGGCAACTGTCATGTCTTAGCTGCATTCGAATGAGGTACGGAATAAAATTCTACAAGAACCGACGACCATGTGTGAAAGTTCGTAAAAAAAGAAGATCTCTGCAGCGAATCGCGTGAAAACTAAGAAACGAGATTCCGGAATTCGTCGTTAAACTACCCCAAAATTCTGCACTCTCATAGCTATTTCCCGTCAAACTCCCTCCACAAAAATTCCCTTTATTTTGTGGAACATAAAAAAGTTATTATAACAGATAAGGCAAATATGCAAAATAGGTGACAGTAGTGATAATAATAACGATTATTAAAGATGTACTATAGTAAACTATATTAAAATGAACTAAAACTGTATTAATTCACGTTAAATTATACTAAATTATGCTAAAACAATTGAAAGTGAAACGAAAACGAACCGCGCGATTGCTATCTAAATTCGGCGCTTTCATATTGGGTACGGCATTGTACCACGAGACGAAGTCACCACCCGAGAAGACGTTCTTCGACTGGATGTTCGGTATCTGCAGTCTCTTCTGTCGTCTCGCGCCGTACGCCAATACAACTGCATCGTAATCCTTACACAGCTCATCGTATGTCACATCTCTACCCAGACACACGTTACAATACAACGACAACCTTAATTATATTTTATACTTTCGATATTATTACTACTACTGATAATGCAGTCACGGCAATCTACATACAAGTATACACATTTGTGATACGATGACTCTGGCAACTGCACTCTCTTTCTAGTGATCACTTTAGAATAGTAATGTGAAGGCTTAATGACTGCGTATGTTCTTTTACGAGGGTCTTTGTATAATCGTGGCGTCAATTCATACCCATCACGTATACATAAACAAATTAATGTAAATAGACGGCACTCTTCAATAGCGATCCCAAACCAAAAAATAAAACGGAAGCTCAGGAAAAGCAATCGATATAAAAACGGAGTATCAAATTCGGCAAAAGAGCACCATTCTCGGCATCACTTGAAGTGTGGAGTTGGCGAAAGCCCGAGCAAAAAAGTTACAAATCCTACCATTCAACACTGCATTAAAGTGTGGAATTTGATGCGTGGACAAACAGAAACTAAATTTCTAAAATCAGATCAAAACAAAGCAGTACAAATCAGAGAACATTTCCAACCTCTCAGAATTCAATTCGAACATTCTGTCGAATTTGTTAATGCAATTCTTCACTTCCGGATGATCTGGCNGACAACCTTAATTATATTTTATACTTTCGAAATTATTATTACTACTGATAATCCAGTCACGGCAATCTACATACAAGTATACACATTTGCGATAAGGTGACTTGGTTATTTGGAGTTGGCGAAAGCCCGAGCAAAAAAGTTACAAATCTTACCATTCAAGACTGGATTAAAATGTGGAATTTGATGCGTGGATAAGCAGAAACTAAATTTCTAAAATCAGATCAA